GGCAGCCTGTGTGGACAACAACTCAACGCATCAGCTGCGGTAAGCCCTCATGCGCTTACCTTGCCCGCCCTATCGTTCTTTCCACAACGCGAGCCAGATGACGATTTGATGACATATCTCAGGGCATTGATTGGCGTCGAATTTTCGGCGTGGCGGAGGACCTAATCCCCAACGAGTCGACTCTCTACACCAGCGCCCTCGATATCTCTACAACCAAATCGGACTTGGACAACGGCATTGATATTTTCAGTCTCGGTTCGCTGCCCCCGTTCCACCACAGTCACAAAAACTCAAGGTTTTCCCGCCTCTCAGCTGACCCTGCCCTATCCGTTTTGCCTATAGTTGTGGAGCAAGATCCCGCTTCATGCGGTGTTTGTCATCCTTCTTGCAACGGCCTGTGTTGGCGTGCCAATGATGCGACCGCCTGCCAAGCCGGTTCGAACCTACCCCTTGCTCGCTGTGACACAAAGCTGGCTCCTCAATATTCATGCGCGTGGCTTGTCTTGCTTGTGCCCATGGCACCCCTGCCGATTTAGTTTGCGATGATAGCTGTGGTATCCCCGGCTGCCAGGATGGAAACACCAGCGCATGCTGTCCAGCTGCCTGTGCGGGAGGCTGCACCAGTAATGGCCAGTGTCACGCTTGCGCAGCAGGGTATGTCATGGACATGACTGGTCACTGCGTCACAGCCTGCCCATCTGGCTTCTTCCGTGCTGGTACCTTCTCCACGCATACGCCACGATGTGCTCGCGAGCAAGATGGCGAACCCACATTTGCGCAAGAAGCATTTTCCTACTGCGCTGATGCCTGCCCGGCCAACACATTTGAAGATACTTCCCGCCCATCTCCTGAATGTGTGGTCTTCTGTCCCAATAATCAAGCACCTACCGCCGGCGTTTGTCCCGCTCCACTTCCTGCGGCCATCGGCTCTCGAGGTACGGTCATCCTGGCTGGATGGACGGTTTCTTCCCTCCTCCCAATGCCAAGCTCACTTTCTTGGTCGGCGGTGTCGTTGCAATCGTCTCGCAGTCTGTCGCAACGTCCTCCCTACTGGCATTACCCACCAATGCCAGTTCTATGCTCTCAAAGCCGACCCTACATGTGACATGCTTGTGGGGCAGCTAACTTACCCCAGCAAGTACACGGTAGATGCCCTACGAGCCATGAACGTCACTTCTGGGGCCTTGGACGGCTTCCTGCACCTCAAACGAATTGCTGGGGCTGTCACAGTCTCGATGACGCTCCTGCCCAATCTGAACTTTCTAGCCAGCATTGAATACATTGATTCGGTCAGCCCCAAGTGTTGTCTAACCCCTTGACCCCCTAACCCCCTCCCCAAAATGTGTATATGCCACGTCGTGCCCAGCTCACCAGATCCCTGTGACCGCCTTCTGCTATTGATGCCTTGACAGACGCTG